TGCCAATGGAATTAGTATTTTAACTCTTAAAATAAGATAACTAGATATTATGCACTTGAAATAAGACAATGCAATAGTTTTTTTTTATCTTATTTTAAATGTAAATTGTCTTGCTCCATTGGCAAAGTGTCTCACTAACCTCCTTAATTCAAGTAAAAATGCACTTAATTTAAGAACAAATTAGTTATTGAGATTTACATTTTTTGCAGTGAATGGACTAAGTTGCTCCTTCAATGACTCTAATAAAAAACGAAGAAAGAACCGTGTATGATTATGTAAGCAGGGTTCACTGCTTCCAGCGCCCAACACTCCCTGCAGGATAACAGACAGCCTATACACAACCTTCACCCTGCTCCCATCTGGCTGACTCTACAGGCATGTGCAATAGTACATGTATGAAGGTGGAGGTGTGCATGTTAATGTGTGGCTTTGACATGCGGGTAGCATTAGTTTACAGATTTTACCTTTCATTTTGTTTCGCCGTTGTCTCTTAAACATGCAATGATAATCAATTCTAATTCTGAAAGAGAAAAATAATAAACAATGAAAACGTCAAAAATGTCAAAAAAGCGTAACTTCATTCTACATGCAGATTATTAATATCCTTACAACTAAATATTTATAATCCGGTGGCTGTTTGCTCCGTTGATCTTTATCTATGAAATATAAATAATTTCAAAGAATAAGGTGGAGATGAAAAGCATGAGTTACAGTTAGAGATTTTAACCAGCAGCCAGTTCTCTTTTGCATGTACAGTAATATACAACCATGCAATCTCAATGCATCTAAACATCCAAACAAGGCTGAAAAACTGTGAAACTATTTTTGATACATGAGCTTAAAAGCATAGTACCCAATACTGAATGCTGAGTTACTCCATTTTTTAATCATTTCATAAAAATAAAAACTTTTGCATTTGGAACTTTTTTTTTAAATCTCTGAGATATAATCTGTATTGTTTCATTTCAACAGCTGAAAAATCTGTGGTTGATCATTTCAGATTAAGACCAAAAAGCATTCAAGGCTTTTTGAGAAGTTACAAAGTATACCTATAACTTATTGCATGATTCATATTTTACTCAGCCACACAGGAACATTTCAACAAGATTTTAAATGGTGTTATTTTGCTCATCAACTGTAACAATATGAATTTATAAATTAGTTCTAAATTTCTTTCTCTGTCCTTTTTTTGTACTAATTGGAAATGACAGCAAAGAACCAGACACTGAGGTTTAAATCTGCTTGTTCAGATGTGATGTCATAAACCTGAACTTAATGAACTTGTATTTTCATGACTGAAATGAAGTTTATGCCACCCTGGAACTGTAAGGAAAAGTCATGTGCCCTCAGCATGAAACCTTTTAATTGGACCGGGTTGTGAAAACTTGTCATTTTGATAAATCTTGAAGTAATGAAAACAAATCAAACCAAGCTTCTTGGAAATTTAGTTAATCATCTTGGTTTTATTTGTTTGTTGTTATTTTTTTTTTGCGAAAAGACATAGAAAGACCTAGTATAAGTATTTTAAATGCTCTTTTGACCCTTTAAAATGCATGTCTGTAGCCCAGGTTGTGCAAAAATGAGCACAGATTTTTTCATAACAGCAGCTTTAACTAAAAGCAAGAGGAAAGTGATAAATACAGTAGCTAGAAATGTAAGGTTTATTTCAGATTAGGACATTTAAATTATTTCATTTCTGCCTGCTCTTTACAGAACATAATGAGCTGTTGTGGCTTTTATTTGTGGAGAAAAATACTTTTAATTCAGTGAAGACAACAAATTGAGCCCAACTGTTAGCAGAATAAGAATAGGATCTTCAA